CCCCCTCCTCCTCCCCCTCCTCCTCCTCCTCCTCTTCCACCACCCACATCGCCTAAACCAACTGTTCACCCTAAAAAAAAGCCCATAGTTGCTGCTTCCCAGGCTCCAGCTACCACAGGGCCACCGCTGGCTGATACTGTCACTTCCACAGCGGTTGAAGCTGTCCCCAAAATGGATGGTTTACCTGCAGCAAAGCTGTGCACTGCCATACCCCCTCCAGTCCCTCCAAAGCCTGCCTCCATTCCATCTGGACTCGTATTCACGCACAGACCTGAGCCCAGCAAACCACCCATTGCCCCCAAACCAACAGTTCCTCAGCTCCCAGGAGCTGCGCAGAAACCGAGGGACACACAGCCTAAACCAACAGGCCCACTGTCAGCTTCTGGCATGATCTTGAGTCTAGAGACATCTGTGGATTATACCTTACCTTCCCCCACCTCCCCACTATCCCCCCACTCTAACAAATCCTCACCAAGGTTTGCCAAATCCCTCATGGAGACTTACGTGGTTATTACACTGCCTTCAGAACCCGGGACGCCCACTGAGTCCACAGCTAGCCAGGCAGTTACCAGTTGGCCCCTGGGGGAACCCCCACTGGAGCTGGTTTCCTCTGAACCCGTGTTTTCAGTACCCCCTATGAGTGCTACAGAAGTCCCAGGTTCTCAACCAGCCCTGTGTCTCTCAGGAGCTTCAGAGGCCTTCTCAGCTGCCCCTGTGGTAATGCTGTCATCATTTCAAGGACCTCCCATGTCAGGTCCACAGTTTCTTCCAAGCGAGGTCTATAAGGCAGAGGCTCCAGCAGCCAGACGTACCCTTCCCAGTGCTGGTGCTGGCAGTGTTTCCATACCAATTCCTCCAGAGCCTCTTGCTCTAGATAACCTACACTTAGAGAAGCACAAGGAAAATGGAAAGCTGCCACTTGTTGGTGATGCCATTGATTTGCGTACCATACCCAAAGTAGATGTGGAAGCAACTGAAAAATGCATGGATCTTTCTGCATCTGCAGTGGATGTGAAAAGACAGGCCATGGTGAATGACGTTTATGGGAGACAAATAAGTGCCATTCAGCCTTCTGTCATCAATCTCAGTGCAGCGTCAGGGGTGGCTCCAGTCTCCCTGGAGCCTGAGACAGCGACAGTTGTAGCATGCACAACTACTACTAGTTATACCTCAGGCATAGAAAGCCTGCTGAGCATAGAACATGTGACTCCAACCCCACTGCAGCTCACCACATCAAAGCATGCTGAGCCCCCATACATGCTACCTGGGGGCCAGGCCTTCCCAGCACTTAGGGAGGAAGCACCAATAAATTTGTCTCTAGGTCCTTGTGCACATGCAGTCACATTGGCTGTTGCAAAGCCTGTCACTGCTCCTCCTGTTGGAGTCACAAATGGATGGACAGATAGCACGACCTCCCAGGCAGTCCCAGATGGGGAAGTGGTGGATCTCAGCACAACAAAGTCTCACAGAACTGTTGTAACCATGGATGACTCTACTTCAGGTGTGGTGACCAAAATAATAGAAGATGATGAGAAACCTGTTGATTTGACTGCAGGAAGAAGGGCCGTGTGCTGTGACATGGTCTATAAGTTCCCTTTCGGGAGGAGCTGTGCAACCCAGCAGCCTGCAACCACTCTTCCTGAGGATCGCTTCGGATATAGGGATGACCACTATCAGTATGACAGGTCTGGGCCATATCCTTATAGAGGGATTGGTGGAATGAAAGCCTCTATGTCCGACACTAATTTAGCAGAAGCTGGACATTTTTTCTATAAAAGTAAGAATGCTTTTGATTATTCTGGAGGTTCTGATGCAGCAGTAGATCTAACTTCAGGGAGAATATCCACAGGTCAGTATGATGCAGCCACAGACCTGTCCTTGAAATATTATGGTGTTCCTCATCTCATTTCAGGATGAAAATGTGGTCTCCATTCCAGTTTTGTTACATTTTCTCTTTCTTTGGAGGTTCTGGCAACATAATTTGGAGTACATGTGCGCTTCTGTTTTCTTCATTTATTTTTATTTGTCCCAATCAGAGTCGCCTGCATGCGCCTGCATGTTCAACATTGCTTTTGTTCTGCACCTGATTAGGTTACCCTGTGGATTTGCATGCCATCCCATTCATTGTATTCGTCAAGATGAGAGGGTTCGCAAACACAAAAACCATCCTTGTGAGAACTGGACTATAACTGTACCCTGTGTTTCAGGTGAGGTAATGGATTATTCAAGCAAGACTACAGGTCCGTATCCAGAAACACGACAAGTCATTTCAGGAGTTGGGATTAACACTCCGCAGTATTCCACAGCAAGAATGACTCCACCACCAGGACCCCAGTATGGTGCGGGCAGTGTTTTGCGGTCATCTAATGGTGTTGTGTATTCTTCAGTAGCAACTCCTATCCCCTCGACCTTTGCTATCACCACACAGCCAGGTTCCATTTTCAGCACGACTGTAAGGGATCTGTCTGGTATTCACACGACCGACTCAGTGACTTCATTGTCTGCCCTGCACCAGGGCCAGCCCATGCCCAGATCCTATTTCATAACCACAGGTGCATCTGAAACCGACATTGCAGTAACTGGGGCTGACATCAGTGCCAGTTTGCAGACAATTACTATGGAAGCTCTGGCTGCAGAGGTAATTGACTCCGTTCCCACTTTGACCACAGCATCTGAAATGTTCACTCAAGTGGTAGGAGATGAAGGCACTCTTTTAATTGTCCCTGAGGAAGATAAGCAACAGCAGCAACTTGACTTGGAGCGTGAGCTCTTGGAACTGGAGAAGATCAAGCAACAGCGCTTCGCTGAGGAACTGGAGTGGGAGCGTCAGGAAATCCAAAGGTTCCGAGAACAGGAAAAGATCATGGTTCAGAAAAAGCTGGAGGAGCTGCAGTCTATGAAGCAGCACCTACTCTACCAGCAGGAGGAAGAGCGTCAGGCCCAGCTCATGATGAGGCAGGAGACCCTGGCTCAACAGCAGCTGCAGCTGGAGCAAATCCAGCAGCTGCAGCAGCAGCTTCACCAGCAGCTGGAGGAGCAGAAGATCCGCCAGATCTATCAGTACAACTATGACCCTTCTGGAACGGCTTCTCCCCAGGCACCTGCAGAGCAGGCTATCCTGGAAGGTCAATATGCAGCCCCTGAAGGCTCTCAGTTCTGGGCCCCGGAGGATGCAACCACAACAGCCTCTGCAGTGGTGGCCATTGAGATCCCTCAGAGCCAGGGCTGGTACACGGTGCAGTCTGATGGGGTCACCCAGTACATCGCCCCGCCTGGCATCCTGAGCACTGTTTCTGAGATTCCTCTGACCGATGTTGTTGTCAAAGAGGAAAAGCAGCCGAAAAAGAGAAGCTCTGGAGCCAAAGTGCGGGGCCAATATGAGGAGCTAGGGGAAGGTGCCGGGGAAGATCCCCGGGGTTTTAAAAAGATCGTGGACAGTGGTGTCCAAACAGATGATGAGGATGCCACTGACCGGAGCTATGCCAGCAGGAGGAGGAGGGCCAAGAAGAGTGTGGACACCAGTGTCCAGACAGATGATGAGGACCAGGATGAGTGGGATGTGCCGACCAGGGCAAGGAGGAAAGCCCGCACGGGGAAGTACAGTGATGGTGGTGCCGAGGCGGACAAAAGCAAAGCCCCCTCCAAAGTCGCCAGCATTGCGGTCCAGACCGTGGCTGAGATCTCTGTGCAGACTGAGCCTGTGGGAACCATACGGACCCCTTCCATACGAGCCCGAGTGGATGCCAAGGTAGAGATAATTAAGCACATTTCAGCACCTGAAAAGACTTACAAAGGGGGCAGTTTAGGATGTCAAACAGAAGCAGATTCAGACACACAGAGCCCTCAGTATCTGAGTGCCACTTCTCCTCCCAAAGACAAGAAGCGCCCAACACCTTTAGAGATTGGTTACTCATGTCACCTCCGGGCAGACTCCACCCTGCAGCTGGCTCCTTCCCCACCCAAATCTCCAAAAGTCCTTTACTCACCCATCTCTCCACTCTCATCAGGCAAAGCCTTAGAATCAGCCTTTGTACCTTATGAAAAGCCCCTCCCTGATGATATCAGTCCACAGAAAGTACTGCATCCTGACATGGCCAAAGCTCCCCCAGCAAGTCCTAAGTCAGCCAAGATGATGCAGCGGTCTCTGTCTGACCCCAAGCCTCTGAGCCCAACTGCAGACGAGAGTTCCAGGGCTCCTTTTCAGTATACCGAGGGCTTCACGGTAAGAGTGATTCTGTTCAGTTAGAAAACTGTGTGCGTTGATGCTCGTGTTGTGTTTGCAGACCTCAGAAGGTAACCAAACAAATAGAACACAAAATACCAGGGAGAACTGTAAGGTTAGAGATGTGGGAAGAAAACAGAAAAGCATGTGCTCCTTTGTGGCCAAAGGAGCAAAATAGATGAGGCAGAATGAGGAGGAAGTTCGTTCTTTTATGAATTGATGAAATTGCACGTTTCATTTTAATATAGAATTCTCTCAAATATCCATTGTAGACTGGAGTCAGTGATGCACTTTGAGTGTAGTCCCATGTGTAATGGGGTGCACATTGAATAGGAGCAGACGGGGCCGGGGGAGCATTCTCTGACACCATGGGCCACGGGCTTTGCACCCTGTTCTCAGACACAGCATTGGCCAAAGCAGATCATTTATTGCTCAGAAGAAAGGGTTTGTGGCAGGTGACATTGTAAAGCATCAGCATTGTCCATCCATGCTTATTAGGTTCCTGGTGGATTGCTTGACCTAGCTCAGGTGAGCCTTGATCATAGTGATTATAGGAGAAGAAAAGAATTTTTACATTAAAGCAATATAGATTAATTATTTTCTGCAATCATAGATATTCTTTAAGGGAAACAACATTCAGAGATGTATGAACCATAATCATAAAGATTACTATAACTGAGAATGAAAAATAATCATCCCTAAAATGTATGTGTCATAAAGAAAATATGACATATAGCTGCTCAGAATGTTACTGACAGGCATGTTGACACCAGGTGAATTCAGGACAGACCTTCTACTCAAATTAGCAGAGGCCCTAGTGTACCAGTTTCTGAACACTAAAGATTTTCAGTACATACTTCTGGAATATTGTTATATTTTCACTGACCCATATGTGTGCAGCATCGGCTGTGGGCTGAAAAGTAGGCCATTATCTATAACAGTAGGTGGATTTGTAGGTATGTAGACGTATCAATCACCATATAGATGCCCGCATGAATTCACTAGTTTTACAATGGAATTTTGATATGTTCTTTCTTAGCCTGTATGTCTTAAAATTGAAATTGTCCTCCTGTGGAGGACTGAGGTTGAGAAACCTCAGAGGTTGCAGTGAGTGCGCAGAGTTCCTTGCACATAGCTTTGTGTCTGCAATGAAATCTGCAGAGAGACCCCAGCTCAGTTACAATGAATAGATATTTATTGTTTCATCTCTGGCCTGTAAGGGCACTTACAGAAGTTATATAGAAAGTGCAAAAATACATTTTCACCATTATGTAAAAAGTAATAGGTTTTATTACTTAATTTATTATGTAATAGTAATAGGTTTCTAGGTTTCTGACATTAGAAAGACTAGGCATTTCTAGGCTTTTTCAGTTTCCACTGATGACATACTTCATCTCTCTGTGCTCTTAATCAAATGACCAGTTAAGGAAGACAGTCAAGTTACCAATATATTTCTTTGTAGTATTCACTTTGCACTTGAAAATATGCAAATAAAGATACAATGAATGGTAAAGGTTGCATTACTGATTATACCAGCATTACTGGTAAAATGCTCATCTAGTTGTAACATAGTTGGGTAGAATTAATGAACATGACTGGGTCTGAAACACCCAGGGTGCATGGAGCTTAGGTATGTAATATAGGAGTTCTTCCAACAGGCCACATTCAGTGTGTACTTTAATGGTAACACTTGCATATGAACTCATCCACTGTGTTACTCTATGCATTAAGAAGATTGTTATATATGCAATTAAAATTTCCTATAACTTTAGGTACTTTAAGAGGTAAATTTTATAAGTGGTTTCTTCTCAAATATCTAGAGAGATATTGAGTTTATTTTAAAAAAATTTCTTAGTTGTAAATACGGCTAAGTATTAAACAGAATAATTCCCTAAGTGATCAACATCATGATATAAATCAAATTTAAGTCTAGCTGACTACTGTAGTTTACAGACTGTTAATTTTCACAGTGCAATAAAATTGGAAAAAATATCACCACTCAATAGGCCCGGGGTCAGCAGGACACTCATGCCATTTGAGAGATGGGGTCAGCAGCAGTGGTGAACCTTTCAGAGCCATCTGTGATGAACAGTGGACTCCTTGTGATCTGGCCTCTCATAGTCAGGTCTCTGTGAGCCAGGAGAGTGACTTTCTGGGTGGACCTCAGGTGCTGCTGCTCCAGGAGGCATCATCAGGTCAGGATGCTTGAGACATTTCTCAGGAGGCCCACTGACGGCCCTGCCCATCTCCAGCCTCATCCGTACGGCCCGGCCCTCCTGTTCTGTCATGAGCCACTTGGGCCTGACCCAGCCCACCTGGATCTCCCTGTAGCTCTCCACATGTCCCTCACACTGGGTAAGGTTTCTGCTCAGACTTCTCCACAGAAGCCCCACAGCTGTCTAAAGTTATGCCTATCATAGCATGTTCACTTCTGACCCCACATGTGTGTGGATTGCTTATTAAATGTGTCTGTGTTTCATTTTTTTCCCAGTAGAATACAAGCTCAACTTATCTATGAGAAAGAACTTTTGGTTCATTGCTGTATTCCCAGTGCCCAGAAAGATACTTGACTTATAGGCTATCTATAATAAGTATTTAATTGCATAAATTAGTTACAGAGAATTCTGTCAACCTGTTTATATTTTAGAGAGTTTCAAAAATTCTTCCCAGCTGGAACAAAACCAGAAGCAGAGCCGGTTCATCCTTCTGGCACATGCTTGGTGGAATTCATTGCTGCGTTATGTATGTCGCTGCCTTCTCTTTGCTCTTCTCCCCCTTTATGCACGTATAACCATAGCCTCTGCCAGAATTGATTTGAATGCAGCATTTTCACGTGAGTCTGTGAGTTATCTCTAGCATCACATGTAAGATGAATTTGCAAGCCTGAGCATGGAGCTGGTTCTTCATGCCCATTCTGTGGCTTCTGCGTGGTGCGGCTGCCCTGCATCAGTGCACCGGGACACCAGTAAGCTCAGGAAGGACAGCCAAGCAAGTGCTGTGCAAAGCTGGGGAGGACAGGCAGGGCCCACTGTGATGAATGACAGCAGACAGTCAGAATGCTTGTGTGGCAACAGAGAGAAGCTGGTCTGTTCTGGATTCATCGCACCGAGTTGCAACATTTATCATGATATCTCTGTCAAGAAAGATGTACTTCAGGTAGCTCGTGTCATGTTAGCGATGGCACCCACTGTTTTGTGCTAGACATGCGCATATGAAATTTTCTTATCTTTGTTGGGTGTAATGCATAGACTATTAAGTAGTAAAATTGTTTTGTGCTATTTTCACACCTGTTTCACAATTTGAGAGCTTTTTTTTAACTATTAAGCAGACTCTTTATTAAAATCTTTTTGTTCTAGAGTTTAAGCCAGGATCCTATTGAAAAGCAGATGGTATTCATGAGCTGATTGTTATAAGAATGTGTTTTGCTTCCCTGGTAGCTGTTTTGGTAGCTATTTTTAAGATTTTTTTTTTTTTGAACCCTTCAGTGTCTGTTTCTGAGCGTAATTCCCATAGCTTAAATTAAGAAATTTTAGGACTGGCCAGATAGCTCAGCAGACTAAAGTGCCTGCATAGGCAGAGGGCAGTGGCCAGGGTTCGATCTCCTGCCTGCAGTGCTGGCCCCGTCCCCAGGGCGCACTGAGACAGCAATTGAGATGGGTGTGGGGGTGCATACCTGTGATCCCAGCACTGGGGAGGCTGAAAACAGGATCGCTATGAGTCGGATCTGTGTAGTGAGACCCTAGAGACACCCTGTACTAAACACATAAAATTTTTTAAAATAAATTTTATTTTTATCAAATTGTTTTTATATTGTTCCAAAATATAAAGATAAGGGATAAAAGTTATGATGTTCAAATTGGTTTAGAAAAATAATACTTAGGGCCTGGGGAGATGGCTCAGTGGAATAAGCCCTTCCCTGGCAAGCGCAAGGGCCTGAGTTCAATCCCTGGTTCTGCACCAAAAAAAAAAAGGAAAAAAGAAAAATAATACTTAGTAGGCATTGTTTTTCATTACCCTTTTTGAAATCAACATAAGAAATCAGTCTATTAAAATTTTGATTAAATCATGTTTTTAAGGGGCCAGGGAGACAGCTCAGTGAAATCAGTGCTTGCCTGGCAAGCACAGGGTCCTGAGTTTGATCCCTGGTACCACCAAAAAAAAAAAAAAAGAAAGAAAAAAAGAAAAGAAAAGAAAACAAAATCATGTTTTTAATTATAATTTTAAAATATTCCATAAACTGTTTCTTGTATTAACTTTCTTTTTTTAATGTATTTAGTACAGGTTCTACAGGGTCTCACTACATAGACAGGACTCATAGTGATCCTCCTGTTTTCAGCCCTCCAAGCTCTGGGATTATAGGCATATGCCATCACACCCAGTCTCAGTCACTGTCTCAGCATGCCCTGAGCCCAGAAGCAGGGCTGGCACAGTGCACTGAGGGTTGAACCCCAGTCCCTACACCTGCCTAAGCAGGCACATTAGTCCACTGAGCTATTTGGCCAACCCTTAAATATCTTTATGACTAAAATTTTGTATGATAAGGTCCAACTGTTGTAAAATTAAAATATAAAAGTTTTTTAAAAGTTTTTTCAATATAAATAGTTTTAAAAGTTTTTTCAATATAAATAGCAATGAAATAATTTAGAGTCAATAATGAAGAGTGTATTAATAATAAATAAATGCGTATGTCCAAGTTGTCAGAGAGTAAAAACTCAGAAAACTTCATGTTAATCTCCATTTACTGTTTAATAGTTAGTACTTGCTTTTTCACAGCCAATTTTTAAAATGAATTTTTAACCAAATCTTTGTATAGTGAAAGAAAGAACATTTTTGCTATTTTTTCCAGACATCCATAATTCAAACTGTGTAGGTGATTCTAAGAAACACATTTCTGTTCTTCTTGTTACACGAAAGGCCAGTCTGGAAGGTCACAGTGGATGCTCCCACATGCCACCTTAACAAAAGGAAGTTCTGGTTCACCAGGCATTGATTATTACTGG